GAGGATTACTATTTTTTGCTATGGGTATTACTCTTGCGTTTTTCCACACACTGGGAAAATAGTTTTGACTTATACATTCATTTATAATATGTGTAGTTATAGACACCAGGAGAGGTCCACAAAGGTTGATGATTGAGATATTTATACTATCATCACCATAGGCTTGCGTTTTTATATTATTGATTAATTTAGATATTTCAGTTTCATTAAACAATGAAAAGGTGAATGATTCATTCAATCCTTCTTTTCGGTTAGAATTATAAAAATTTATTTAATGTTCATTTGGTACATCCTCATTCATGGAAGATCTTAAGAAAAAATTATTCATATCTTCGGCATTTTTCAGTTGTTCTGGTATTTCTTTGTTTCTACCCTTGGTAACACTCAATTTCTTAAGTTCTTTCCATTTACTCTTGATATCTGAGTTGTTCAATTTAAAGTTTAAGTAAGCTTTTTTTTCTACTTTTATGGCTGTGTTGGTCAAGTTCCTCAATTCTTTATAGTATGTCCAATGCTGTGGAAGTTTCGAATTTTTGAATCTAGCTAATGCCCTATTTCTAAGTTTTTGCATCAATTTAATGTTGTCGGTAATCCAGGGGGTGTACTTGAGGTTTTTTGGTGAGCATTTTTTTTCTGGCGCATGTAGATCAAGAATTTGCAATATAAATTCATTTACGAGAGAAACTTTGCTATCAATATCGACAGTGTCATAGATTAAAAACCATGGTAGATTTGCCAAGTCGCTTCGGAATCTATCAATGTCTATGTGTTTGAGATTTCTGTATGTAACCTTGGTATTTTGTGAATTTCTATCCTCACCGATTTGGAATTTTGCCTGTATTAATGCATGGTCAGATAAATCACATTCTGTAATATTTACCTCGGAAATATTTTCACAATTCGTTATAATCAAGTCTAATAATGAAGAACATGTACTGGTTATTCGTGTAGGTTCACTAACAATTTGTCTGAAATTGAAAATTTCCAAAATTGAGGAAAATCTATCTGTATAATTTGAATTGAAATCCAGCATATTTATGTTGAAGTCACCCATTAAAATAATATCATTGTGACTGGAGAAGATATTCGTGAAAACTTCTTCGATTATATCAAAGAATGGTGAAATGTTCGAGTTAGGTGGTCTGTAAACAACGCCTATAACAACGGAACAGTTTTTTTCGATGAAAATGTTCACCCATATACACTCTATATGCTCGTTACATTCGCTGAAAATGATTTCATATTTATAGTTATTTTTCAAATAAAGGCCAACTCCTCCACCTCTGGTAGGCCTGTCCTTGCGCAAAAAAACATACTGATTAAGACTTACATTGTTGCTGTCTATACCTGAATGCATCCATGTTTCTGAAATTCCAATGGCATCATAATCCGCATCGAGAATGTGATCTTGAAAGTCATTGAATTTCGCTGGTAAAGATCTAATATTTATGTGACATACGTTCAGCATACTCTGAAAATATATTGAAAAGATAGTGTAGGGGAAAAAGGGAAATGAAAGAAGCAAAAAGAGAGAGTAAATACTTGTTATATAGAAGATAGAAAATGTAAGGAGAGAACGAAAAAAGAAAAAAAAAAAAAAAAAAAAACTCAATCGCCCTAAAAAATTGGTCAACAATAGCGTGACACATGTGGCATTCCTGCTCTAACAATACTGTTTTGCAACATGTTATATAAATGAAAAAAAAAAAAAACCTTCCGCATATATTCAATTTGGTTAGAGTGATATTTATGTAAATCAGGAAAAAAAAATCATAATTTTTTCAACAAATCATGCAGTCGTGTAGCATAAACAAAAACCCAACAAAATAATAATGAATGAATAATATGATCATTCACGTATTCCCACCAAAAATTTATAAAAATAGCATTGCATTAATTTCATCAACTTCAACTTGATAAAAATAAATAGAGAAAAGAAATTACAAAAACTAATATCTATTATGAAAAAAAAAAAAAGAAAAATACCCCATTTTGAACTATATGAAATGCGATGACCGATATGCAAAAAAAATAAACCTTGTTAATTTCTCAGCAAGATAATCTGTCACCTCATTCCGTATCACAGGTGAGAGAATGGCTACCCAGAAATTTCCCAAAACAAATAGATAGGTCGTGAAGGGCCATTAAAATGGCCAGCACGCTCGCCGGACATGGTACCCAATGATTTTTTTCTTTGGGGTCATCCGAAATCCGTTATTTATAAAACGGAATCTACTATGATCTGTACGATATGTTGAGAAGAATTAGGGTTGAATGCCAGGCAATAACTAGAGAAACATTCCAAATGTCCGAAAGAAATTTACAAATAGATTCTGCCACTGTCGATGAAGATAATTTTGAACATTTGTTGTGGATAACCATTCAATAATTCGTTCCGTACATTCAATTACTCGCAATTGGAAAACATACCATTTGAACTCGAATATCTCGAGAACGACTTGTTGCAATTCAAAAAACTTTCAACTGCTAGTTTCAGAATTGAATTACCTCTGCATGCAATGATGTATAACACGACCCTTATTCTCTATTCAAATTATTGAGGGGGTTGCTCTGGGGAGTAGAGGGTTGAAATATGGATTATTCAATTTGCGTCAAAACCTGTCCCCCTCCATATTAAAATCGACCTGATCCGTCATTTTTTTGTAAAATAATAATTCTGGGAGATATCGAGGGTGGATAGTCTTGAATGGGCCACTCGGTATATCATGGCGTTTATAAGTATAATATTATATTCTGTTAGATCATTTGACAGAAATCAAACTACCGAGAAAAAACTGTGAATCAATAGAATCTGTTTGATAGCTAATTTAAATTTAGAGGAGCTGAGTTTGTTGGATGATTCTGGCACTTTATTGTACAGGGTGTCCCATAAGTCATGGATCAAAAGAAGTGAGGTGGAAGAAGGGGTCATTTCCAATCAAACTAACCGTATATGTTGTTATCCAATTATGGATGGTTCAAAGAGAGATGTATAGAAATTTAACTGGTGGGCTCACTCTTCAATTGTTTCGTCAGACTTACTCTCGATATGGAACAATTGCAAGCGAGTTTTGGACGTGGGGTTCAGGTATTTGCGATAGAGGCGCCATAATCGGAAAATCGTTCAAAACCTTGGTTCTGTGGGGGATGAATCTACTTCTATCATTGTTCTGTGGTCGAATAAATACTGTGCTCAACATTTACATTCAAATTTCAATTTGAAATAGAAGCAAGAAGTCTTTTTTGTAGCCGATTTTAATAAGCTTCACTTCTTTCATGACATGACCTATTTAAAGCATGAAATCTGATGAATTTCCTCTTTGAAGAACCAGAGCAAAGAATGTATCAACTATTGAAATAGACCAATATCGAAAATCATAATAGGCATATCTGCTACTGGTACTTACCTTAGAAATTATCCACACCAGGTCACGCTAATATTTCAAATCACTGAAATACTGTTGTAGAACAGAGATTTTCTTTTTTTTTATGGTGGATTAGGTATTATACACAAAATTTAGAAACTACGGAACACGTCCCTAACGAACACTTGACCCCAGAAATAACCATTTTTTCAGCTCAAGAATATTTTTGACATATTGACGTTTCGATCGTTTGATCAGGAATCAGTTCACTGCTCTGATCCAAATCATATACGTATCCAAATATTTATCGGTCGGTAATATGTTTCCTGTAAATATGGATTGTAACTAGGATGAGCTTAGCGAGATTTACCCACGTCAAGTATGTTTATAAAAGGTTTATCAGAGTAGGCGCCATCGAGAAACTTGCAAACCACCTTCATTGTTTTTTTAATCTATGATAGGGAGCAAGCGCACCAGTTAAATTTCTATACATCTCTGTTCAAAGGTTATTATTGAGGTGTCACTTGTTGACCTAAAGGTTTCATACTTTCATTGCCACGTGCATTTCTGTGAGCATGTTAAAGTACTTTTGCCACCTTTCGGGGCTCAAGAACCCCTTCAACAACAGTAAAAAGAAATTCAAAAATCAAATTATTATCTGCCATAACATTTCATTCACTTAGCCATATAGACATTCAATTACATTTTTTTCTCTTCCTTCTCCATGTGAATATAACTATACTTTGAAGTATTGAATAATTTTGAGTTTATACAGGGTGATCCATCGAGATTTTTCAATTTTAGGATTTTTTTGTGTCGAAACTATTCATTATTGATCAAAACGGCCCACATATCCCTATCTTAACTTTCGATTTACTATCTACTGACATTTAATTGGAACAGATACAGGGTGATCAGAATTCTGAATCTTGAAGCACCCTGTATTTTTTTCATTAAAATTCCAGTAGTTAGTGAATAGAAAGTTGAGATAGGGTCATGTGAGCCGTTTTGACCGATAATGAATAGTTTCGACAAAGAAAACCCTAAAATTGAAAAATCTCGATTTTGAACACCCTATATCTCTGTAATCATTCCTGCTAGACCCCAAGTGTGATGCATTGATGACATCAGCTCCTTAGGAAGAATCTGAAAATGCAATAAAATACAGGGTGCTAAAATGACGAAGTTGCTAGTTGTTTCTGATAGAAGTGGCAACACTGTATCGATGAAACTATTTTAGACGGATAGAGAATGTCTATAATTATCAGCGAGCATCCCAATTTTCAGAATGTTCTGTCTTTTCGTTCTCCAGATACTTCTAATAGGCCATCCACCGTGGATCACCCTGTATAATCTTGTAAAATTTTCAATTCTCGCAGAAGATGAGCATGCTCTATGGGCTCGAAACATCTATGATGATCTAATTGAGTGATCTGATCACCATTAAAATTGTGGAGACGACTTTGTCTTTTGATCCTTGGTGATTATTATTATTATTATTCTGACCAGTGCAATATCATGTCATGTCGACCCTCATCGTGTGATGCGGGTTGATTAACTCTGTACCCTGAGCATCAAAATTAGGATTCGAAGGGCAGCACTTGCATAGCACCAATTAGGCTGTCTAACACTTACTTATTATACAGAATCAAATCTGGCCTCCAAACTCTGTTGTAGGGTATCCTTATCACTTTGATTCCAGCGAATTCGGAGACATTCCATCTGAGATGATGATCGACCCAGATTTGGGTAATCCAGCAATTTGTTGTGAGGATTTGGTTCTTCTCGTCCTGAAAAAAAATTCTCGCTGTTTTCACTGAAGATAGCCGGTCAATCTATATCTAAAGGATCAGAGGATACCGATACAGAGGATGGAACATCAATAATATCTCATCTGAATATTCTAAATCATTATACAGGGTGGTCCGGGTTGAACGTCATCAATTCTGATAGGTGAACAACAGGGAAGAAGTAGACTTTCATGAATAAACTTTTGTTAGAAATGCTTCCTAAGAAACATACATGGTGTCAGAATTTTGATACCTCGATTGAGTTCTTGACGCGCCGCGTCAGGTTTGGAAACATCGAAATCAACACTGTAATGTGTACGTTATAAAGATCATTGGAAACCATATACTATTCACTGCTTGTACACAACCTCGTCAGTTCCAGCCTCTTTTATAACCCTTCAAATTCAAATTAAAGGAAAATCACAGATTATCAGAAATATTTTTGTTCTTGAAATTGAACAAGGAACCCAAGAATTGAATATTTTTCGTGAATAAGGTTATGGTAAAAGAAGCTGCCGACCTGCATTATCTTCGCCACTGGAGAATTTCCTCAAATGATTCCAGTCATCACTCAGAGATCTAATACATTAGGCTAGTGCAAAATTTGATCGAAATTGGTTGGGTGGTTCGAAAGGTATGATGAGGTAACCAATTTTTACACAAAACTTCGACACCCTGTATCTTTGTTAGGAAGCATTTCAAACCAAAGTTTTTTCATGAAAGTCTAGTTCTTTCCCTTTGCTATATCGCCTATCGAAATCACTGACGTTTAACGTAGACCACCCTGTAGATATATCTGGACCCTCATATACCTACAGTGTTACCAATATGAACAAATTCAAACTACTGTCATTTTCTCGCATTTTCCGATGCTCATTTATTCGTTTTGATGTCACCAGAAAAAAAAAGAAAATTCTGCTTTGAATGTCGTTTTCAACTCATGCCAATGTATCATGCCAATGCCAACTTCATATATGGTTTTGTTAGAGATTCAACGAAATGTTAGCAACTTTAGTAAACAATCAAATTTCCACAGATACAATACAAGAATTACAAGATCAGCTGATTTAATGATTATTCCACGTCATAGATTAACCTATGACGTCAAAACATTATGTACTTTTAGTAAACACAAATGTAACGCATTTTCAACAAAATAGAAACAAACAAAACAAACATTCTCGTATAAAAATAATCATATTGCTATTTCTTAATTCAAAAATATTCATAAATAATATAACAAAATTCAAAAACAAATAACAAAATTAAACGAAAGAAACAAACGGTTAGGTTAGGTATATAAAAAATTTAATCTGATCTGAATCAGATGAAGTATTATCCTTTTTTGGTTTATACATATCATAATTACCCATATGTATATTTATTATTTATTTTGTAAAATCAATTTAAACAGAGGGTGCCGAAATATCATGCAATTTATGAGTGTATGTGATCAAATAAAGATCAATAATAATATAGGTAATTATAATAATAAGTGTCAAAATGTTTTTCAGTAAATTATGGAATGTTCCAGTATAGATCAGATCTACTGAAAATTCAGTAGAACTGGCAGCCCTGCAGCAGACGAGAAGTGTTTGCGGACGAAATAGTCGGTTTTTTGTTCGAATTGTTGTTCTAAAATGCGGCTGAAAACTTTAGAAATTGCTTCGCATCGCTTCTGGAGGACATTCATCTTCTGATGTAATCTTTAAAACTTAAGTGATAGGGTTATTTCAAATGATTACATATAGATATTAGCGTTCGAAATTTCGATAAGCTCAATGGGTGTGACTTCGCAATAACAAAACCTCTTTCTCCGTCACACTCATTGAGCATATGGAAACTTAGAACGTGAATATCTGCGTAATCGTTTGAAATAACCCTATCAAACCCGGCATCAATAAATTCGTTTTGACAATTCCTAACCGTTTATGGAACACAATACAGGGTGTCCCATTCAAAAATCAAAAGTTGGGGTCGTTTCCAGTTAATCCGGAAGTGATAAAACAAAAATTGTTTCGTCAATTAATGAGCAATTTGGTATAAATACCTACTAGCTGCCCACCAATTTTCAAAACCCCATCTCGAATAATTCAAAAGTTACAGTCCTGGCCGTTTTTTGTGCACTTCTCTGTATATATATATATATATATATATATATATTGCAATTTCCACCCGTTATTATTGGACACGGTTCCTTCTCCGATATAAAAGATATTGAAAGTTTTGCATTCTCCATTCAGGGGGTCTTTTCCACTGGAATGTTGTCAAGAAAATCTATTTGATAACTGTTACAACTTCTATATATAGGTTTATTGAAAATCGTGAAAGTAGAAAAACTCTTCGATATAGACGGTCGGTTATCATCCTGAAAATGCAAAGTTTTTCAATCACCGATCCACAAGATTTGTATGAAGATGGATAAAATAGATTGTGGAATATTAAAGTATAAAGTTGAAATCTGATTTTTTTAAGAATGCGGTCCTTGCATCATGTACATGTATCTCCTACGGTCCGATGTAGGATATTAACACAGAAAATAGTCATTCATGATGAATTCAGTTGGACTACATACAGGGTGACAATTTGAAAACGAGCATTACTCAATATTTCTTCAACTGATGACACAATGAAACTTTGGCGAAACACGCCGTCAATTAACATATCAATGGGGAAAACATCATGGAATTCCGACTTTTTATTTCGGAATTATTCAATTCCGTCTTAATATGTCGGAATTCCGACTAAATATTCCAAGATACTGAGTCGGAATTCCTACATGATAAGTCGGAAATGGAAAATTCCGAGATAATAAATCGAAATTATGTAAAATAATTGCGGTGGCCCTTCAACACCTTCGTATACAACATGAACAACCATCAATACCAACAAACACAGAATGAGTCAGTTTTTGAACTGCTTCAAGAAAACATTTTTTTAAGATGCAAATCTTATGAAAACGTGAGAGATTCGTTTCCGATATACTATGGGTTTCAAGGTTTTGAAATTTTTTTATGAAATTTTGCCAAAGATCTCGATTGATACACCTTATGAAAGCTTTCGATCATTCCAAATTTACTACTCGTCACCAGGTATATTGAAATGATACTAATATTACAAAAATCTAAAAACTGCTAGTTGTCATGGTTGAATTTCTTTATCTCTTCCAAGATTTAAGTTGATACAGAATCCGCAGGTTCGCTAGTATAAAGTTGGAGATTATAATTTCAATATCTAATTGTCCTATAGGATTTTCATTTATCTGTCAACGATGAAACTAAAATCTCATTGAGCAACGATTGCCGATTTCTACTGTTTTGTCTTCGAGTTCAATTGGAATAAAACAAGCGCATCAGTTCTTCTAATAAACATCTAAGAGGAGACTTACCACATCAATTATGTGATGTAGAGATATTCCGAATATAACAGTGAGTGGCAAGGAAGAATTTTGTGCTGGTCTGACAGCCGCATCGTAATCTGTCATAAGATATCTCATTAGTCTTACTTCATTCTCGTCGGCTTGGCATCTTCCTAAACCTGCAACAAGCAAACAAGAATTTTATATTCAATTATGGATAACATCATATAAAATGACTTCACGTGAGAATATAAGGAAAAAAATCAGCACTTGGTTACTTTTTTTACACTAATTTGAAAAAATAATGGATAAATGTAAGACTAGGGAGGATACCAGAGAATCAGTTATAGTATAGCTTGGGTTAGGTGAAAGGTGAAAGACATACTTAGATATTATAGCGGTCAAATCCTTATAAGGGGTGCATTATTGAAAAAGTGGAACATTATGTCTTCTTGTAGATACGAATCAGTCATAAAAACATTGGATCAATAACATACCACTTATTCAGTATTAATTTTTTTGATGACACCATCATCCTCATTCTTTATAATCTTCCGATACAACACTATCATTATCAGACAATCGTTCAACCCACAGGAGAATGGGGAAGACCACTGAGAGAAGAAATCCGTGCAAACCTCTTTCAATCGACGAATCATGATTTACGTTTGATGTACAATCAATATTATGAGTTAAAGTCGAAGGGAATCGAATCAATATCGTTTTCAAATCAGCATATTTCATTCGATATTTCAAACAGCCAAATATGATGGTGGAGTCGTGACGTATTAGTCCCGAACTGTAGCTATCTCTCTCTGATACCTCGTCATTCTGCAGTGTTGCAGTGTGATTGGTCAGTTCAAGGACAGTAGGCGTGTTGGGAATAAGACGTCGCACCAGTCACACCAATGAATTGACAAACTTTCAAATAGTGCAGGAATTGTGTGTTTTGAAATGGACATATTCTAATTTATTATTTTCATCGTCTTAGCATGCATGACAAAATTCAAAATTAATTCACTGGTAGTTTTCCAGTATAGAGTTCACGATAATGTCATTTTAAAAAATCAGTGGTCTCCCCTTCTCTTCCAGGGCTCCAATACCAGCCAGGCAAATCAGAAAAGAACGAGAGAGAAAATGTTGACAACATAAATATGGACTTGGCAACAATTCTCGAATGGGGATCCAATAGCTTGGTAGATTTCAATGCAAACAAAACACTAGCATGCCTTTTCTCTAGAAAAGCCGATCTCTCTGTGCCCAACCGTTGATTGATATATTACGCTTACGCTGGGAAGATGCCCAACCTGTGTTATTTGCGAGTCGATGCACCGCTCATCCCCTCGCCTATCGTTTAGCCACTGTGAGGTAGCGACTCCACTAGGCACACAGAACATGTCTGAACTAATTGTACAGATTACTACACTCTTGTACAGAATTACAGATCCCATCCCACCGCGTGCTATCGCTTCAGAAATTTTTGTTTATCCTTGTCTTCTACGATGAGACCCGACCCGCCCGACCGGTTCCGATAAAAAAATGTTTGCTACGGTCGGTGAATCCCGTGGACAGTATTGATTTTTCCCTCGGTTCCTTGCGGAAGAGAGGAGAACATATTATGATCTCTCACTCAGTTGGGTTCCTACTCCGTGGCGTTGATTGATATATTACGCTTACGCGTAATATATCAATCAACGGCCCAACATAAGCTTGTCAGGAGAAACCATTGTTGATAATAATCATTTGAATAATATCATTCTGTATAATATGGAATTGAACTCTGAATTGTCAGTGATTGTGTGTGTCATGAATGTGATATAATATATCTAGAATGTTATGTTGTTAAGTAGTTCATATGTTATACAATATAAATAAAATAATAAAAAGATCATTCCATCTTTTGTAAAACCTTGTTATCTGTTTCTGCCTGCATATTAAAACCTCAACAACCATACCTTTGAAGACATCCATTTCGATGCTTGGTATTACAATATCAGCAATAACCTTTCTTGGGAAAATCACGTGAGATCAATTGTTGAAAGTGCATCCCAAAAACTTGGGTTTTTGTTTCGGGCCAGGAGCTATTTCACTTTCAGTCAGATGCTTATGATCTATAAGGCACAGATCCGACCTGTCCTGGAATACTGCTCTCATATTTGGAGTGCAGCACCCAAACATACCCTGAAACTGTCCAAAAAAGGACAATTCGTCTCGTGGGTGATGCCTCGCTCACAAACTCACTCACTTCTCTGGAATACCGTAGAAAAGTTGGCGATCTGGCTCTATTCCATAGATATTTTCGTGGACGATGCTCTTCTGAAATATCAACAATTCTTCCTCCCTTAGCAGTCCCCGCGAGATTAACCAGTCGAGTTGAGGATTCGCACCCCTTCGTGGTGACTTTGGAGACCTGCAGAACATCTCTCTCCAAACACTCGTTCATCCAACGAACAGTGAGGCTCTGGAACAGGGCCAAGGGAGGTGTTCCCCGAGGCATATAACCTCGCGAAATTCAAGAAGAACACAAATTCCTACCTTATTTCCCTTGGTTCTCACGATGTTCTCTGAACATTACAGGATATCCCTTTTCGTGGGAACCAGAACATAACAAAAAAAATTTCCTGATGTGGTTGCTGTAACTTGCGTGCAAGGAGTGAATTGTCAATAAAAGTATTAATTCTTGCCAAGAGTGGTTCAAATCTCACAATAGGCTCTAGGCTTCGCCCTTTTCAATACTAAATGAATTATAACTCTTGGGAAGTTGGTTCACACTTAATATTAAAAATGCTCGAATCATTGAAGGATTAAGGTGAATCTGATGACTCTCCAGGTATTTCATAGACTCAAACAGATTGTTCGAAATATCACATTCATTAGGGTTGATAGTTTTTTTTCACATTACTCAAAATTTTAATCTCAGCAGAATAGTGGCCGCAGTGCCATTGGGTATCATTGGTCCATTCTACGTCCTTTCTCGTGAGGGAATATACGAGTTTATGCACACATTTTGTCTTGGTAATGTTTCTAATGCAAACAGATGAAAAAGGCACAATCTGGAGAATCCCATCTCTAAGGAGAACCACATATGCACACTCACGTTTGGCGAGAGACACTTTATTCTAGCTGCCGAAAGAACAGCCAGCAGATATAGCCTGAATTATTGTTGTCTGATTTTGTATTGATATCGTGAATATTTATATGTATTGAATAGACTATAGACTATCATCAAGGTCTTCCTTCAGAAACTTCGTCATCCTCTCCCCCTAAAATAAGATAATCAAAGCTGGTTTGTGAAGTGCACCAGTATAGTGCAGTGGCGAAAGTGGAAACAAACTTATTTTCGTTGGAAATTTTAATTGCAAGATTATTCTGACAATTAATTAATTAATTGTAAGATTTGCCTTGCTTGGTAGAATGCTGATGAACAATTGTAATTATCTTGTTGTCATGTACACATTCCTTCCGTTTCCTTCTTCTTCTTCTTCATAATCACTCCACAAAACTCAAATTCAGCTAAGTATATTTTGAGAAGTGATCGCCTGTATGAGGTCCATCTTCACATTACTCCCTGAGGTACCTGATGTCGATTTAGATATTAGGCTCATCTAAGATGGTTATGACTCATCAAAGACGATGCAGATCTGCCAATGTGTCATCGCCTTATTCGCTGTCGAATTATTATCCATCAGCAAAAGCTGTGTTCCTTTTGGAATATGACATTCGTTTTACCTAAAACTTGTAAATTTCTGTTTTTGTAGGAGCGTGTAATGGCCCTCGGCTGGCGCCATCAGGCCATATTATGCGCCCAGGCCATAAACGCCACCCTTGATACATAAACAACTATTTTCGCATCATGACCATTCAGCGCCTTAGTTAAAAAGAGCTTGAAAATTATGTGTTGAAAATAATCCTTTCAACAATTCGAAGTTGGAGTTGGTAGTGGTTAAGACGATGCACATAATATCAAGTGGCATTGGCTAGGTATATATCGAAAATGCTCACCTCAAGAACGAAAATTGACAAAAATTGGTTTCCTACCTTTTTCCAGAGGGAGGCAAGTATTCGTTGGTTGACCCTGTATATTATGAAAGCTTTGACTGGACCGAGATGCGTTTTGCGAAATGTTTGCTCACGTTATATGCTAGATATTTACACATGTGGGGTTTTCTTTGTTAATAAATGATTCCATTCAGATTGTCAAGTCTACCGTGCTTAATCTGATGATTTTGGTCATGATTATAAACTCTGGAGAAACTAGTCCATCGCCATTTATTCACCATACAAATTGAAAAGATAAAGAAGCTATAATACCTAACAGTCCCATTAAGTGGAAAATATTATGGACCATGCATCCTAGCTCTCTCAATAAAGTATGGTATTGCAATATCTACTCGGACAAAACTATCTCTCTCAGAGAATTAATGAATTTTGCAATCCATCAATTCATTTAATTTTGGCTAATATTGCAAGAATGAAAACCAATATCCTATATCTCTTGAAAGTTATGATTGCTTGAAAGGGAGTAGCGGTACTCTAGTTGGAGTGCGCATCCCGATAAGTCAAAATTATGAAATTCGGGATCTCCAAGGAGTTCTGCATCGAGAAGTCGTTCCATAACACTACAAAAAGTGACCAATACCATTGAGTAAACATAATTCATTATTACGTTACGACTTCACCTCAATTTAAAGATAATAGATAATAGCTATTTATATATCAAGGGAGAAAAGGTAGGCACTTTTTCTTTGAATTGTGCATCAGGCGGTCTATCTCTTAATCCAAATCATTATGCATTACAAAGGTATAGCATACCACGGACAATGTCAATTTGACACTTCTGTCATCATGAATTGATTGATTTGTATATTGTGTCGCCCTATTTGAAAGTTATGATTAGAAGTAGGTTCGGAATATGAAGAAGCGTATGATATCATTGTGATTCAAACAGGATATTATTGTTATTTGTTTTATATTAGTGATAAAGAGACTGATTAATTGGATAGCACAGATTTCACAGGTATATCGACGCCAAAGGGTGCATGCTGAAGCCAATTCATTTGACACTTCTGTCATCATGAATTGATTGATTTGTATATTGTGTCGCCCTATTTGAAAGTTATGATTAGAAGTAGGTTCGGAATATGAAGAAGCGTATGATATCATTGTGATTCAAACAGGA